GACGCAGGAGACTACGTCAGCACTCACGAGATTCGCTATTATGCGGAAATCAACGGGCCGAAAGGGGTCCCATTGCTCAGGTTCTAGGCAAAAATCCTTTGTTTTTTCATCATCTTGCATTGATGATTACTCCTACCTTAGCGAAATGAAGAGCTATTAGTCCATCGTTGCTATTTCTTCTCCATTTTACCTCATGGAAATCTGAAAGAATGCTCTACCCTTATTCAGGTTTCGATCAATAACGAAGCAATATTTCCGTAAAGCTGACGGTGTACTACTGTTATTCGATGTAACGTCAGAGCAAAGCTTTCTAAACGTTCGAAATTGGATCGAATCGGTTCGGAACGGTGTCGAAGACTCGACCGTGTTAGCCTTGGTCGGCAATAAGGTGAGAATGAACTCGGATGAATCAATTCACCAGTTACCAATAGAAAGATTCAGAGATTTCAGGTCGATTTGTTCGGTAGCGATTCGTCGCGAAATTCTGTTTATAAAGCTGGCAAAAAACTTGCCGACGTGAGTTATCATTTCTTTAGAGCTATTTAAAGACTAATTTGGCCGCTTCGCGTGAACCACACGGGACTGCAATGGTATAAATCATGGCCATCCTTATTTTTTATGGAGCTTTATGGCAAACTCCGCCCACCTCGGTGCCATCCACCAATCCAATTGACCTCCCTTCCGTTGTCAGATCCTATCCATTTTTTCTTGGTTTCCAGGACTTCTTGGAATTGATTGTAATGTTTCTTGGACAACTCCGCCTTTTGGCGCATGCGCCACACACCTATAGTATCAAGGTTCATTTCGTTGTGAGACTCTACCCAATTTTTTCCCAATTTCCAGGAATTATTGAACCGTTTTATGAAGTTTTGTGAGTAACTTCGCCCACTTCAGTGCGCGCCACACCCGCTGGTGGCAGGTGACATCCGTTTCTTTGCTGGACTCTACTTTTTTCCGGTCTCCGTGTCTTCTTGGAACCGAATTAGTTTGGACAAACCCCGCCCACATCGGCGCACGGCACGCCCATCCGTATAGTTACCCTTCCCTTCTTGTCAAACCCTATCTACTTTTTCCCAGGTCTCAGGGACTTGTTGGAACCGAACTATAAGACCGATGGCAAACTCCGCCCACTTTGACGCATGCCACGCCTACCACTCACGTTTGACCTTTGCTTACTCGCCAACCTCTATCACTTCTTTCCCGACCTCTGGGGATCTTACTCGTCTTTGCTTCATCACACTCATCATCCGAAATGGCCCCAAGGTGATCTTATAAATAAGGCCGACAGACTCGTAACCAATTCCAAAGTTTCCCCGTTGGACGTCTGGGTGGAGTCACTTGGACAATTACTCGCCCCACTGGTTGAATATCCTGGTGAGAGGGAGAGCGAAAACGCGGAGCGCTGGTGCGTGTGACCAAAATGTTCCTTTTTAACCAAAAAACAAAGATACAAGAGAATATCATGGGTCAACATGATTTCCATTTCCTTCACTTCTAGGATGGGATCCAACCCGTTGAAAAGCTGAAGGAGTAGAATCGAGATGTTGGCTGGGTCCGCCTGGAGTTTTCGGGTCGTAGTTTTACGACCGATTATATTGCGCTTGATTGATCATTTCAGTCCTTTTCCTCTCCTTTATTTCTTCCTAAGGT